ACCCGCGTGGGGCAGGTGATTCACGGCGCCTGGCAGGGCTCTGGCAGTGGCACAGTCTGAAGGTGATGCTCCTCCAGTGTGGGAGGTGGCAGGGGGTGTCTCCTCTCTGCGTGCAGCTGGGCAGGAGGGGCTCTGTCCTTTTAATTTGATCATAGTGAGTTCTGTTTTCTTTCTGTTTTGTATTGACGTACGTGCTAAAATTATACCCTCACAAAACCAGTTTGAAAAACACCCAGTGTCTGATTGGAACCCACAACTGGCGGGAAGGGAGCCCAGGTAATAACTTTCTCTACTATTATAACTCTCAAACACAATTATGACCAAGAATTGCAACACCCACTGCATGGCAGGTAGTAAATATTGTTCATATCTTGGCACTCCACATCTCACCTGGCCCAGGAACACACATGGAAAAGGTCAGAACACACGTTAGATATGGTGGGAGGTGAGCAGGGCCAGGAGCTTTCACTGCCTGAGCATGAGATTCACCCCCACACTGATCAATAGCATATAGAAAACATGAGCTTCAAGTCTAGATTATGTCATGTATATAACCAGTAGCGTTTCAAGGCCTAAAGGGGCTACAGGAGAGGGAGTGACAGGATGAGGGGGAATGGCTGCAGGGATAGATGGGATATTGGGAAGGAATTCCTTCCTCCCTGTGAGGGTGCTGAGACACTGGCATAGGTTTCCCTGAGCAACTGTGGCTGCTCTATCCCTGGGAGTGTTCCAGGTCAGGGTGGATGGGGCTTGGAGCAACCTGGGCTAGTTGAAGACAGTATTGAAACCCCATTTTGCAAGAGACTTTGTGGTCACGATCCATGTTTAAGCAGACACTGTGCCAACACCTGAAGACTTCATCAGACAGACAGGAGACAGATGCTGTGGGTGTCAGAGGGTGAGAACTTGCATTGCAGATGTGGCATCAGGAGATGCCATGGGTGGGGAGCAGAGTCCCAGGCATGTTCCAGGCATGTTCATGTTTCTAGCCTAGAAGCTACATTTAAAATCTCTTGTGATTCATGTACAGAGTCATTCATAATCACAGTTCCTTAGTGCTTAGAGAGAAGTGGGTTTATGAACAGAAAAGAAGACATGGCACAAAATAAATCTAGATACAGAAAATTGCTTTAAATGTCATGTATTCCCATAGCTAAATTACGGAAAATATTCTATAATCACTGTTTATATATATTTATAGCTTGTAAAAATGTCTCTTTAGCACTGTTGTGCTACTGGTGTGTTGGGATGGAGCCAGTACCACACTGTGTGGGTTTACTGAGGTGCCTTGAGTGCCCTGGAAGGTATTAAGGACATCAACTCTCTGCAATACACTTACACGTGTATGTATACGTGGGATCTCTAAATATTTGGCTGCAAACTCTGAAGTATTTACATTTGCAAATGCAGCTGCAAGGAGGGGAAACTACTCCTTGAAATGAATCCCAGAAGCCTGCAGAGGATAAAAAAATGCCTGCAAGTTGGCTTGCTTAAAGGCTGAAACCTTGGAAATGCAGACTGTATGGTCATGGCTGGAACCATGGATGGAATTGAGAAACAAATATCCAAGATCCAAGAGCTCTGATCAGGATCTTAGCAAACTCTGCAGCCAACAGGAGTGAGGAGTGGGCTGGGTGCTCCCTGTGGTCACCTGGAGGCCTCAGCATTCAAGGGCATCTCTGAACAGCTTGGCCAGAGCAGTTTGACCACAGCAGCTTGACTGGCAATGTCTTCTTCACCATCACTTATTTCCTGTAAGGTCTTTTGGCTGTTTTTAGAGTGACTCCAGTGCTCACCAGCTGCCCTGACTGTCCCAGGGAAGCTGAATGAACACTTTTCCACTCCCATTGTCTCTCTGTGCTAAATACTATCGCTCTTCTCATGCTTTATGACCGTGGAGTTGTTCCTCTACACACACCACCACTCCTGGCCCTACTATTATACTTTTGGCAGGAACATGTTAGGTTTTTATGGGAATTAAAAAGCATGAGTGAGAGAGAGAACCTGAACCAAAGACAACATGAAGGGTCTTATTTCTTTGGGTAGAAGCCCAACAACACTATTAAATAGCTCAAAGGAGAACAGAAATCTCTCTCCAAGATGCAACGCTGAGAGACACCACACTCCAGCGGTTATTTGGTGCCCCATGGAGAAAGGAAAATATTCCAAGAGGAATTCCTGTAGGAGGGGGATGGCTCTGTGAGCACTGACCCTGCTGGTCACACTAGGACAGTAAGTTGGGACTGAGCTGGAGAGGTTTTGTCCAAGTCCAGCTGTGTTTGTGGCTCCTCTTTCCTCCCAGCCTGAGTAACACATTCATCTGCATCACTCCCATAGCTTTCCCATGCTGTGCTGCCCAAGAGAAAACCCTCCCTGAGAAGGAATGAGATCATGGACCTGGGGCACCTGGATGGTTGGTCCCTGCTCTGTCTGCCAAGGGTCCTGTCAGCAGCTCTGTGCACCCAGCTCTTCCTCCTGGAAGGAGATGTCAGAACCCCAAGGGATCAAAAATAGCTTTCTGAAGGAAAAACAAGACTTAAAAGTGATTTCAACCCAACTGTTCCTTTCTCCAGGTCCTGCTGAGCTGTGCTGGCTGGAGCACTGCGGTGTGCCTGCTCCTCGGGAGATGAGCCCAGCGCAGGACCGGAATAGCTGTGAAATTCTGAGAAGTTTGGGTTTGCTTCCAAACTTTATCACTGGCCAAACCAGTGGCTTTGATGTGAAATCCCAAACTCTGCAAGCATCTGAGGCTGAGCATCGAGGGCTGATTGTGCTGCCAACAACAGGCGTGTGAGCTCGGAAACAGCAGCGCGTGCTGGGGGCCGTGGAAAAGGAAAATGAGGGCCTTTCCCTCCCCGTTTCAGAGCTGCACTGCTCTCCCCTTTGCTTGCACTACAAAGGTGGTGTTGATGAGAGTTTGGCAACTTGGAGGGTTACTGGTGGCCCAAAGGTTTTTGCACGTCTGAGTTGCCAGGTCACACCTGGACCAGGTTGTTTGTGACTTCAAGGGAAATTTCGTGGCTTCTGTGGCATAAATTTCATGGCCAACAAAGACTCAGACCAGGAGGTGGCCAGCTAAGGTGAGCCTGGCTTTTTTCCTCGGGTATAAAATACCTGGCTGCTATGTGGAGAAAAGGAGAAGTATCTCACCCACTGAGTTAAAACCAGATTGGAGGTTGACTCAAGTACATGAAAATCATCCTTGGCTTTGGACACAATCCTTTATATAGGGTTGGAAAGAAATGTTCTGGATGGCTTCTCTGGCCACAGTGATGAAAAGTGCAGTTAATCACAACTGTCATTTAGATGATCAGCTAAAGATCACACAGACAACTCCAAGGAGAACTCCAGAGAGGTGAGAAGCTGCTAAGCCCAGGAATCCTCTAAGGTTTTGTCTGACTTCAGTTAATGAGATCAGTGTCTCCTGAACTGGGCTCTGGTGAGCTCAGTGGGAATACTGCAGTTGGTTTCACTTTGGAAAGTGTTATTTTCTCCATTAAAGCAGAAATCCTGTTTCTTCCAGGGGGTGTGAGTCAGCTGGGATCAGACAGCATTGACTCCTGACGGGCTCCTTTCCCATTCCTGCCTCTGACTGCAGCCACTTGGACAGAGCAGGCACTTCCCAGGCCGTTCAGACACTCCATATGGGTTTGGAAAGCTCTTAAAACAGGTAGAATCTTTTAAGGAATTCAGATTCTGGCTTTCTTCCACCCTCTGCCTGTCCCAAGGGTTTCTGGAGCAGCCTGTGGACTGCCTGGTGTGGCTTTGGGGGGACCGAGGAACAGCCTGGGTGTGTGCAGCAAACATGTCTTGAATAAACAGGGATTTTACTCATCATAAGTTGTAGAGATCAATAGCATGGGATGAATTTCCTCTCCCAGGATAGGATTAGAGAGCAGGCAGACGTTTCCTCGTGCTCTGATTGCAGCAGACCCTGGGGGCTCTCCCAGTCTGGGTCTGGGCTTACCATTGGCATGGGCAGTCTGGGAGGGCTCCCTTCCCTCCCAAGGGCTGATGGTGCAAGGCACAGCTCGAATTCCTTGGACTAAGCATCCTCTTAGCAGGACTTAATCAATGATTAAGCAAAACATACGATAAATCTGTACTAGATCATTCTGTGTGTGGCAGTGGAATGCATTGGCTCATTTCTAGTCTTGTTTATGGCCAAGTGATTGTATCTCTAACGATGTGATTAACTGCTTAATGAAACATTTATCAGCCAGGTGTTACCCTTTGGAAATGGAATGTGTGGTATAAAGTGTGATCAAAACTGCAGAAATCAATGTAACCAATGCCTGCTGTCACCATCCCCTGCTGCCCCCCAGAAAACAGAATCACTCAGGTCACACTGGATTTGGGGCAGGTAAAACAGGACTGTAAGGGAGGAACTTTCACCAGTTTACTGTGTGGGTGGCACTAGTGGCTGGTGATGAACACCAGCAGCAGCACAGTAAAGCTGGATTAGGTACAGGTGGCATCCTGCCCAGGAGGTTAACCTGTCCCGGGGAAGGGAGAAAATCCTGTGCCCGCAGGGATGCCCGAGGGGGAGCCCCGTGCCTTGCCTGGAGCCTGGGGCAGCCCAGCTGCTGCCTGCACTGGGGAACACCCCAGAGAACTGTGGTGTCTGTGGGCAGACAGGAAAACCAAGTGGGGATCACTTTCTAATTCCATTCCCGCCTCTCCCACCTCCCCACCCACAGCCCTGCGAGATCTGGTGATTAACTTAATTGCACTTCCAGCTCCAGGAGTCAATCCAGCCCCAGAGAAGGAGCTTTGCCAGGAAGGTCTTGCCCTTGTGTCCTGTCTGGGTTTGAACCAAGACCACAGACACGTATGTAGCAGCACAGGCTGCAGACCCAGCTCCCATCTCCTCATGTTGGGAATTTAAGCCCTGTCTCC